CTGTATCCTGGTCACTTCCTCTTTAATATTGTCTATTTTCATCCTGAGTTCATTTAGCTCTCTATTTATGGTGTTCTTTGTTTCACCTTAGTGTTTATACAGTGTTTCTATAGTGTCTTTTATTTGTTCTTGTGTTTTCTCAAATTCTCTGTTTTTGTTGTCTTGGAATTTCTTGAATGTCTCGTGAACATTTTGGTTGACCATATCCAGTATCATCTCTATAAAGTTCTCATTGATTACTTGCAGAATTTCTTCTTTCAGGTGTTCTTTTGGGCTTCATTGGATTCTTTGGCATAGTTTATCTTCGTTTTTTTTGGAGTCTGGATCTGAGCTTCTGTTTTCTTCATTTCCCTCTTGTTCCTGTACTAATTTATTATTGGGGAGAAAATGGTTTTCCTCTCTTTTCCATCTTCCCATCATTCCACTTGCTGCTGTTACTTTCCTTGTACTGTGTGCAATTTAGTATTGTCTAGCTAGTAATAGTAAAAATGATGGTATCTAGAGTGGAGGGGTAAGAGGAGAAAAAAGTAAAGAAGTTAAAGGAAAAATAAAGGAGAAGGAAAAAAATGATACAAAACCAAGGAAATAAACAGGGAGAGATAGTGTACTAATCAGCAGTGAGCTAAACAGAGATTAGAGGGAAAGAGAAAGAAGAAGAAAAAAAAATGGGTTCAAAATCAATAAAGTTTCAGCCTTAATAGTTCTGTTTCTGGAGTTACTACTTCAGTCCTAGTGTTGGTGTTTGAGTAGTAGGTTCTGTCATTGTCACATCAAAGGAAAACAAAAATGGTAATGGTAATAAAAGGAAAAAGAAAAAAATAGAAAGGGTATCTAAAACTATAAAAGAATATGTTTCAGGTGCAGAAACCACGCCTTTTCCATCTTAGTAGTTGTGGTGTTGTTCCTTCAGCATCCAGTCTTGGTGTTGGTATTTAATCGGTAACTCTGTGGTTGTCTAACCAGGTGATTGGATCTGGAGACAGCTTGGTGAAACTTCATCTTCTGTTTTTGAGGCTGCAGCTCATCTGGCACCTACTGTCAGCCAGCTGCTGCTGCAGGCTTTATTTATTACAGTTCTCAGGGATGAGTCAATTCACTCACCTAGTCCATCTGGCTTTGTTTATTTAAGGTTCTTCTGGACACCTGTTACTTTTCTTTTCTCTAGTGTAGGGCCCTACCAGCTTGTTGCGATTGTAGTCCTTGTTTATTTACAGTTCACGTGGGGAAGTGCCCTTCCTCCACTCTCTGGCAGAGTGTGCCACATGGAGAAAACCCCTTCCCCCTTTCACCAGTGCTCAGGATGCCCTGTCCACTTTGTTACATGTCCTTTTTTCAGTTGCTTGTTTATTCATTTTTTTTGCGGGGGCCGGGGCAGGGGACAGTCTGTCCAGGGGGCTATGCTGATTTTTCCCAGGGGTGGCTGTGGGAGTACTGTGTGCCACTTATTTGCTCACCTGTTGGTCTGCCAAGTACTTAAGGAGCTGGTGCTTGGCGTCACAGGAGCCCTCCTGGTTTCTCGGTATACTGTGGCATGGGGAAGCTATGTGCAGGCTGGGGGTGTGGAGGTGTTGGGGTTTTGCCACTTCTTGGTGGTTTTCCCTGTGTGGTGTGTCTCCAGCATCTCAGGAAAATTTTTACTTTAAGGAACACATGCTATCTGGTTCCTCCCTCTAGTCTCCATCTTGAAAAAACCTTGCTTTCCTTATGTGTGTAGTCTTACCATAGTAAGGTAGTTGCATTAAAAAGATTGTTTGATGATCAGATTGGAAATTGAAAACTATCTTCCCAATCATAGTACCATTTTTTTATTATTATTCATTTTTTCACATCTGCATACATTGCTTGGGTCATTTCTCCCTCCACACCCCACCCCCACTGTCTCCTCCCTCCACTTCCTTATCTCTAATTTTGTTGAAGAGAAGACATAAGCATAATAAGAAAGACAAAGTGTTTTTGCTAGTTGAGTTAAGGATAGCTATACAGAGATATTCCTAGCATTGCTTCCATGTACAAATATGTTATAACCCAAGTTGATTCATCTCTAACTGATATTTACACTGGTTCTTGATCCCCTTCTCGTGTTGATCTCTATTGCTTTAAAGTTTTTGTATTAGTTCCACTGGAGTGGGGACATCAAACACTTTCATGTTTTGGGTTTTCTACCTATCTCCATACCTCCTGTATGTGCTCTCCCCTTGTCATGTGACCCAAGTCCAGACACATTGCTGTATTTGTCCTAGATCTAAAGTCAACATGTGAAGAACATACAATTTTTGGTCTTCTGAGCCTGGCTAACCTCACTCAGAATGATGTTCTCCTGTTCCATCTATTTACTTGCAAATCATAAGATTTCATTCTTCTTCATGGCTGAGTAAAATCCCATTGTGCATAAATACTACCTTTTCTTGATTCATTCATCAGTAGTGAGGCATCTTGGTTGTTTCCATAACTTAGTTATTGTGAATAGCACTGCAATAAACATGGGTGTGCAGGTGCCTGTGGAGTAACCTGTGTTGCATTCCTTTGGGTATATCCCCAGGAGTGGGATTGCTGGATCATATGGCAGATCTATGTTTCAACTTTTAAGAAACCTCCAAATTTTTTTTCCAGAGTGGTTGCACTAGCTTGCATTCCCACCAGCAGTGTATGAGGGTTCCTTTTTCCCTACATCTTCACAACAACTGTTGTTGGTGGTGTCTTTGATCAAGGTACCATTTTCAAACCAGAATTTACAGAATCTAAATATGAGCATTCATTGAAATTGACATTGGTTTCTAAAATTGAAGATTTCAAATACATACAAAATATATGAAGAATTTATTTATATTCATGTTAGAAGTTGTCTTAGTTCAGTTCATCAGTACCCACTAACATAAAACAAATTTGTAATAAATCAAAGATCTAAATATAGAATAATATTATTTTAATAATTTTGTGTATTGTTCATTGTTATGTGATATATTCACTTAAAGAGCTTAAAATACATACTTATTTACTTTGTATATTGCAATTTTGTTCACACATACAGACTTGTGAGTGACATTTTAATTTAGTATCTACAATGATCCTTTAAGGTAAATATTACTTTTTCTTTTTGATGTGACATTTAGGCTCACATTCTATAAATTTGGATGGTCATGGATTTAGACATAATAGGGTTACTTAAGCATTTAAGACATTAATCTACCTCTTCAAGGGACATACTTTGTTTTTGAAGGGATCTAAAAATATATGTTGATGAGACAACATTAAATTGAGGATTTAAATAATACTTTTGCAAAAAATGAAACCACATTACACATAGTTGAAAAATTTTCTCATATAGGCACAGGACAAAGTGATGAGTGATTGACTCATGGAGTTAATGGAATGTGAAGGGACTGAAAAGGTAGTGAACAGGAGATTATAAGCATCTGACAAAAAGCTAACATAAGCAGGGAAAAATATGAAGTACATGAAATGTAGTTAAGAATAAAACAGATATAGAGGAGTTGAGTGCAGTGGAAGAGTGATAAATGGAATAGTAACTATCTCCTTATTGAGAACTTACTTGCCCAGTACCAAGCTTATTACAAACTTTACATTATTTACAAATAATGTCACCTTCATAATAATGTTAGGAGATAGTCTCACTCCATAGTTTTGATGAGAAAATAAAGATTCTGAATGTTTAACTGATATATTCCAAACTGCATAGCACTTTATGCCAGAACCAAAATTCAAATCAAGTCACTTGATCCATTGTCCCAGTTCTTGGTCAGAATGTCACATGGTCTTCCATGATAATAACGGTCATCTGGCACTATTGTAAACATTTACATCTTAACTTAGTATGAAAATAGATCAGCTGCAGCTGCATACAGAAATTTATATTTACCTAAGGTAATGGGAAATCATAGTGAGAGTTTATTTTTCAGAAGTTAAATTTGACAGCCAGTCATGTGAAGGATGAGATGAAGATACAAAATTTATAAAATATTTGCTATCATTTCTAGTACCAAGATTAAGAAATATTTTTATATTAGATACTATGATTGCTTCAGAGGAAATAAATTTACTCAATCTATTTTTTTTTTGTGTAGGGACTGCAGTTTGAACTCGGGCCTTAAACTTGCTAAACATGCACCCTACCACTTGAACCACACCCCCAGCCCCTTAGATCTTTTTTCTTTTGAGATAAGATCTCCATATGTTGCCTAAACTGACCTCAGTGTTTGGAGCTTAAAGTGTTCTTCTCCCTAGCCTCCAAAGTAGGTGGCACTACAGGTGTATGCTACTGTACCCAGCTCTTTTAGTACAATATTTTGTACCTAGCATAGGTAGCACCATATGCTATCACTGATATACTTTCAAGGCACTTCCCTTCAGAAAGAATATAGTTTCACTCAAATTCTAATCTTACTTTATTAGGCTTATGACCATGTTTTCACATAACCATTTTTATTTCAAATACTACCATACATTTATAGTAGAGTGCAATTGTTATGAAATATTTATTTTTTTATTCCTGTAACTAATTATGCTTTTTCTTTGTCATCTGCCTGCTTTTCTTGTCCTTGCTCCCCACTTTTGGTTGGTCATTAGTTTTTTCTAGTAAGGTCTCACAGTGCTCTTTTGTTTTGCTCCCACAATGTCTTTTCTGTCTTACCATCAAGAGAGGAATAATATATGGGCGTGTAGTCACCTGGAAGAAGGTTCTGATAAACCCATATAGCCATATGTTATTTTATCTCTTTGGTACATTGGTCTGTGAGCATCTTTACCAGAGTTGTGTATTTCCCTGAGATAAGGAAAAAAATAATCTATCAGAAATGCAAGGTGATTCAAAAGTTCAATCATTCATTGGATACTCTTTGCTGTGGTCTTTTTCTATAACTTCTACAAGGTTTCTGCATTCTTTTCTCTGACATATTGTGAACAACACGTGTTGGAAATTATATATTAACTAAGAATTTTGATGTGCATGCCCACATGCATATTTTGCCTTTCATTGTACTTACTTTTGGTCACGACACCTTCTAGATGGATGATATTAGGATGATCAAACTGCCCCATGATACTTGCTTCACCTAGGAAATCTCTGCGTTGCTTTTCAGTGTAGCCTACTTTGAGTGTTTTGATAGCCACAGGTAATTCTCTTTTTCCTGGTAGTTTCAAACGTCCACTACAAACTTCTCCAAATTCACCTAGTGATAAAGATGGAAAAAATGCACAAACTTATTTGAAATTCTTATTCTAATAAATTCTTGAAGTATTATGGCTCAGAGAAAACAAGGAAAGTGGTAAAAAAAGTGGGGAGTACAAACCTAATCATCAGTGTTAAAAGAAATAAATTGCATTTTGGAGAAAATCATCTACAGATAATTATAAAACTCTTTATGGAATATTAGCTTCATCCAACTCACCTACAAAAACATAAATGGACATCAAAAAGTAATTAAAAGCAACTGACTAAAAATCACTTACTTTCTCTTTTTCTCTCTACTCTAGTAGTACTCACTATTAATGAAAAAAGAAGGAAACAATTTTAAGGAAAAGATGAATTGAATTATGAAAATACTTAGGCATAGATGAGTAGAACTATGTAAATATTTTTCAGTATTACAGCTTCACTGTATAAATCTAAAACAGTAATAGCAAAACATTGAAAGGTTGAAAACAAATTTTGGGATATTTTAATTTAATAAACCAAATATTTCCTACTTTAAGCATGAGCTACACAGAAGATTACATTAAAATGTGCTCAATTACATACTACTTTGAAAGTGAGCCCATTACAAAAAATTAAAAATATTCTGCATAAAAGCAGAACAGCGGTATATTATATTCCACAATACAAAGGTTAAAAGTCAAAGTTATTTTACCATACCTGCTCCAATAACTCTTTCAATGGTGATACACGAAGCTTCTATCTCCTTGGCAAATTCATGGACAGCTTGATTGGGATCCTCATAGGTATGTGGATCAATGTAGGTTCTTACTCCTGGCAGTTTAACTATAAGATAGGTGGGCATTAAAATTGAAGTTATCAACTTTATTAACATGCTCATAGAGCTTATATCTCTATAAGAGATATAAGATATGAGAGATATCTCTCATAGAGATATAAGCTAGGAGTAACTGAGTAACCTAGGAGTAACTGAGCTGCAAGCAAAAGCTCTTTCCTGGGTGATGACAGTTATTTGTAGAGCTATATTACTTTTACATTAAAAAAATCTGAATGTTATCATGCACAGGAAATGGATATATGATGGCAAATCTAAGTAAATACATTTTCCAGTGATAATATTCAGAGTTCTGTGAAGCAAATTACAAACATTTTGTTTATTCAACTGGACAATGACATGATACTTCTTATTTGCTGGCTTATTCTATGTTTCACTTATATATATAAAAATTAATTTTGATTTTTCAAAGACTTATTTAAGGTAATTTTTCCAGTGGCACGCTGTAATAAGGTAGGGCTAGGTATCAAAAGACAAATATAAGTTCTGTTTCTCACTCTGCCTTTGTCACTGCATGACTTTATTCAAGACTTCTGTATTCTCTGGGGCTCAGTGTATCACCTCAAAGCCTATCAATATCACCCACACATTACTTTATTAAGATAAATAATATTAAGTAAGATATGAATATCAAATGGACTCAAAGCATTTAAGCATGTTTTGGTCATGGTAAAGTGATAAAAGCAACAGAAATTTTCCATTTATTTGGCAAATCAACTCACATTTTATTGTGTATGGAAAAATGAATATATTAAAATAACAGTTCATTTAAGCTAATTTTTAAGTTCACTGTCAAAACTAGATTTTATGCATTTCTTAGAAATGTAGTCTATTTCAAGTTATTTGAACCGAGGTTGCTATTATAGAGTTTGTTATGAGAAATTCCCACTACAAAGCCAGAAGAAGAAACTGAGTAATTTCACTCTTTTATCCTGGTGGTGTAATTTAATGATAGGTTTCTGCTCACTGTGTTGCTAGGAGTTAGAATTAGCCTGGCAATTTGATTTAAAATATTATAGCATTTTATATTAGGCAAAAGTTTTAATTTTAATAAGGATTATAATGAAAATATTCTTTAAAGAATTGAATAAACCATTCAGCTGTTGCCTACAGCCAGTCAGCAATGCCCAAGACCATATGTTTTATACTTGCTTTTATTAACCCAATATTTTTTTGCAAGTTATTAGAAGCCCATGAAAAGAAATCAAAATAATAATAAAAATCTTCTCTTTTTGTTCAATTTGCTTACTGTGCCCGTTATGAAAATGCATCTTTTCCTCTTCTGGGTCTTGTTTTGCTTTGCTGTAGCCACACCTCCTGGAACAAAGAAAGGTACAATTAGCCACATCTGAAAGTGGTGATCAATCACCTCAAGCCAAGAAAAAGGAAACACAACTGACATTACTGCAACCCTGAAGTTATTTGCATACTAAGAAATAATAAGAAATAGCACCGATATTCCTTTTGAATGAAGTTCACTTTCTCAGTCAGTTATTTCTCACTCTCAGCAAATTATCTTGCCTAGATTTCACTAAGAAGTCTGAACCCATACAAGCTTATTTTTTAAAATTCCTTTCACAGTGTAAAATTTTCCAATCTCTTCCTCTTTCAAAATGAATTGCCCATTATGTGCCTGTGATCTAATGGTCTGCCACCTTCATCCTCCTCTTGGAATGCTTTTCCCACTCTTTCTTATTTTGGAGTTTTTAGTTGCTCCACAAGCTGTTTTCACCCATATCTACTCAGATAACTATGAAATACACCACAATTTGCAGCACCTCTCTGCTCTATTCTCCAAATCTTGGTCTCTCCTGTTTTTCTCAACTCCCCACTACATTCAAGTCTTGTAAACTGCTTCTTCTTAGAATAACTTCTTGTTATTCTTGTTCAAAAATGACACTTTAATCTGGTGACTTTACCTTAATTTTTAGTTCATTCTTGATGAGCTAAAGTCCTTAACTATTTTTTTGATGCTATTGTTCCTCTCTACATTTACATCTGGATATTTCTAAAAACGCTCTGCCTGAACTGTATGGTTCTCTCTTCTAAATCCATCCATTTCCATCCACCCATTTAATACCTCTAGCACTCTTCTTAAATTTCTTTTGAGAGTTATGTTCTTATTGCTGATAGATTTATTTTATAGGGATACTCCAGTGGCATTCAAACTGAACAGACCCGAAAAAGAAATTGGTAGTATTTCTTTTTACTTCTTTCAGCCATGTCTACCTTCTTCTTTTCCTGGAATTAATATGGCCATGTCATCATGGTCTGTCCCTTAACATCCAGGCATTATTCTTCAGCACTTCACAATAAATATGTTGCCAAATTCCAAGCATCTCTTTCTTTTCATTAGCTCTATGACTTCCTCAATTAAAGCCCGGTTCTTTTTCATCTGAATGACTGTAAGAGCCTTCAGAATGATGGCCATGTATTCTATAATTCCAATCCTAAACTATACTAGGCATGCATATAGTTTAATTATTACATATTATATATGCAATATCTTGAATATTGAGTTATCTGCCTACTGCAAAGTTGTTAATAAAATAATAAGGCATAAGTTCTTTTATATTTTTTGGTGGGATTGGGGTGTGAACTCAGGCTTTGTGCATGCAGAATAGGCACTGTTTGAGCCACACTTCCAGTCCATTTTGCTCTTGTTATTTTGGAGATAGAGTCTCATGAACTATTTGCCTGGGCTGGCTTCAAACCATGATCCTCCTGATCTCAGGCTCCTAACTAGCTAGGACTACAGGCATGAGCTGCCAGTGCTTGGCTCAAGGTGAAGATTCTTAAATACAGTTTTCACACACATTTAACACATTGTCTCCTACTGTTCATCTTCAGGTATATCACATGTTTCCCAGAATCTCTAAGATAGTGCTCCTTATTTCTATACTTTTGCATATATTGGATCCTTCTTCAAAGATGTTCTTCCTAACAATGTCCAATTATCAAAGTCCTATCAATTTTGCCTTCACATGTTTTCCCTGATATTCCAACTATAGAAACTTTGTCTCCTGAACAGAGTACCTTTGTCTATCCCTCTAATGGTGAGATTTTTTTTCTCTATAAGGCAAAACAGTTATTTGAACATTTTTTTCAATCCCTTACTATTTGTCATATTCTTAAATGACAGTAATCAGAATTCATCTATAAATTCCAGCAGTAGCCTAGATTCTGATTCAGAATTCACATTGAAAATATTTGTCACACTGATGGATGAATGAATGAGTGAATGATATTTTGACTGTGTCTACACAATGACTGGTGTTTGGAAAATGACTATACTGATGAATTCTGAGTTGACGTGTACATGATTAATCATACAACGTTAAACAGCTGGTTAAAATGAAAACATTTAAATTATTTTCAGCGAAACTCTAATGAAGTGATTTTACTATGCATAAGATCCTACCACAAAACTGAGTCCATTAAAAATAAAATTTGCATCTATTAGTACATTAAGATAAAAGAGCCAGAATAGCACTCTGACAAAGTATTTTCATTACAAAGTTGATTGCAAGGTGCTATACAATATAAGTGTCTAATAGACATTTAAAAGTGACTGTCCTTATGTATATTGTATATTGTATATTCTGGGATATTTAAAAAAGTGTATGTATATTTTGCTATAAAAATAGCATGTATTTTTTTCTGTGTCATTTCCTAGCATGTACTCAAATATATACTATGGAAATGATCAACACGACTTATCCTTGTGTTTTGAAATAAAATATAACTAATTCTCTGCATGTTAAGGAACTGGTGATCAATAATTAAAGCACAGCTAGTAAATTTTTGAGCAAACTTGAAATAATATATTTAATACTTAAAGTGTTCTTGGGTAAGGAAAATATGTAACAGGGATCTGGGAGCTTTTCAGATTATTCCTATCACTTAGATTCATTTGTCATTCAAGAGGCCTTAACACATGTTGAATCACCTCACCATAGTGAAATGGAGATAATAAAGCAAATACATGAAGTTTTACTGAAATCATGTTTTATATATTCAACTAAGATTTAAGGTACTTCAGTACATTGTTCATAATTTTACTAGGCACTACATCAATATTTCTGACTTCAATGTATGTGCCTCTGGAGAGAACAGTTATTGGTATTTCTTTTTTAACAATGCTCTAAATACAGCTGTGTGAAATTATCCTGTAATTTGTGTTATTTAAATAATACTGACAGAGGACATTGTTATAGGAATTCTAGGGAAAATTTAAAGTTATACAGATTCTTTACATTAGCAAACAAACACTCATTCCACTTTCAAATCTCCCACTTTCAATATAAATAAAGAAATAATAAGTTTTCAAAATGATATCTTTCAATAGGCTTTATCATTAGATAAGCCTCATATATATTTGAATTACATGCAAATGCCTCATATGAAAATGGAAATAAAACTTTGGTTCTCATTTAAAAGTGATTTGAGAATACCTTTGTGAGGAGCAGCTAACATTTTATTACCTAGGGTGAGAGTCAGGAGAGCAACAGAAAGGAGTTATTTTTGACTATGGGTATCTCTAGAGTTCTGTAACATATACGGCTGCATGTCAAATTAACATATAAAATTAAGTTCTGGAACCCCCAAAAGCATCATTAAAACAAGCCTCAACAAGAGATAGCAAGTAAAAAATGCAGCTGGCAGAGATTGGCACTCAAGCAGTGGTTCAGGCTTATTAGCAAGTATTTCAAGGACACCTGTTCATTCACTATCATCTTCTATACCTGCTGCAGATGCATAATTTTAACCAATCAAACAGTCAATGAATATGTCATTCTGCCCATAAAGTATGCCTGCTCCCACCTGAAAATATTTTTCCTGAATGGAAAAGAAACAATTTCTTCATTTTGCTTCATATCACAATTTTAATGAGCTTTGAAATGACTGTACTAAAAATATATGCACTGTTTATATTTAGGTCTCATCTTCTGATCATTTATACTCATGTTTCTCAAGAAAATAATGTGGTTTTTTTTAATAGAGTTGTGCATGAGAAATTATAACTCATATTCATTAATATGACTATAACTCATTCATTAATTAATATTTATTTAAAAAGTCCTAGAGAAGTGCTTAATATATAAATATAACAATGACCTTATCAGTAACTTAGAAATCAATCTGTTTTCATCCAAACCTATCCCAAAGATTTGTGTAATATATTCCTAGTAAATTAATGTTGGTCTTAAAAACGTGACCCGAGTCACTACATCTACATTTGATATTTTAAATTTCCATAATATATGAAATAGTAAACAGTAGTCTTTATGTAATAATGGAGTTGCCAATGAAAAATTTAGTTCTAGGTATAAATTTAGGATTTGTTAATAAATTTGGTATATGAATGTCAAGCACTCCAGAGTACTAAGCAGGGCACAGAATCAATAATTTACTAAATAGCACTCTTGTGGCCAATGAAGAGGAATGAGTGAATGGAATAGCCAAAAGGAGAGTGTAAATTTTGATTCAATAATAGCCTCCACACAATTAGCATTTTCCATTGCTTTTAGTGTACAGAAACAAATACTGAATAATCTTTTCAAACCAAATAAGATGGGGTGAGATGCAATGGTGAAAGGAAGAATGGTTTTAAATTTTAATTTCTTTAAACAAATGAGCATGTGTACATTGTATGAAGCAGACATTCCTCTGTTGTTTCTCTACTTTTCAGATTAATTACAAAATGATTTTCCTATACTTTAAAGCAAATGTTAAAAACGTTCCCCCAAATTATAGCAATAATAGCATTTGTACGACTTGAGAATAAGTCTTTTAAAAAAACTGTCCTCTTTTATTTTTTTATTGTTCAAAAACAAATGTTTATTATAAATTCTACTATACTCCCCTTTCTTTGGACTACATAGATAATTTTTGGGTTAGCATTCTGCAGATAACGCCTAGGGCAACACTGCTACTTTCCCTGGGAGGTGAACTTTGTGAGCATAGTGGCTATCAGGCGTTTTCTTCCCACTCCTTTCTGGTGCAGAAGCGGCCCCTCTACCCATCATCAGCAGTGCATGGGACCTATTTTGGACCACTTTGCACCAAGCTGTTGCTTGCCCTGGGATGGCACATGACCCATTCCAGTCAATGAGAGTCCATCTCTGGGATTTCTCTAACTGCAGGTGGAGAGAAGAGGCACTTTCTACTTCCTCTAATGATGACGACTTCTGTGGCCATGTTTCCCACCACATGGGGAAAGCAAGTAACCCTAGGAGTAAATGAAATCAGCAGAGAGAGGCAGAGATGGAGAAGAGATGGGAAGCTGGGGGAAGAGCATGGGATCCCTGATCTGGTGGTGTGGTTACATAAACCCACAATTTCTTCTCTGTAAATGGATTTTAAAACTACATTTCTTCATATATGCACACTCCCTTTTTTCTGACATCATAATGGCCTCAACCATTGCACAATGTTGTCCTTAAAGAATTTTATTGCTGGATTCTCAAAGAGAATAAGCATAGTTTAGGAAGAAATGCTTTGGCTTTTTCACTTTAGAATTTTCTCCAAATAAACAAAAGCAGTTTAAATAAGAACTCTGCGAGCTAAGCCTCATAAAATAAAAAGCATATGAACATTAGATTCGTAATATATCTAATAAATACAGGAAATAGATTAAATTTTGTTTTATGGGACAGCATTCTTCAATAAGAATATGAGTGAATGTGCAGTGAAATGAGACATTTACGCTGTCTTCCTAGCAGAACCTTATGACTCTCAACCATGTTTTCCTCATTTAACTACCAGGATACTAGGATTTTGAATATTGTACAAATAGATTTAAAAGGAAAAATGCAACTAAACTACATTACTTCTCTACTGTACTTCTCAAGAGAAGTGCACTCGCGGTGGAAAACATATTTCCTTAAATATGGGGGTGGTGTAATGACTATGCCACAAAAATAAGCATTCTGTATCATTACCTCACACTCGGTGCAGGACACTGTCTGCTACTAATGACATGTGAGAAGCCAAACTATGACTTTTTTATGCCTTACATGTTATTTTATCCATATATTCTCTAAAAGAAGCAATAAAAACATCTTCCAGAATACTGTAGTACACATGAATTTATAAAACTTCCATTAATGAAGACTTAGAATCATTTTAGAACTACCAGTCACGGGAATACCTGAAAATTTTCAAACTTTAAAGAATGCAAAGTGGCATTATTCTCACCATTAAATTCTAATTCCTTAGACTTTTTATGTAATAATATATTTTATAAAGTATGACATATGTGGATTAAATTTTCCTCTTTGAACAAGTTTTACTCTAATGTCAGGAACAAAATTTTGTATTAATTTTTATCTATTTCATGGAAAACTATTGGACTTAAGATTTATTTTCTCCTATAGGCTGAGGGTCTGTAGTTAATGACCAGGGGATCTTGGCTCAGTTCATAGATGTATTTTATGTGGTAAACTCTTAAATTGGAATTTAATATACTTTTACATATTTTTCAAACAACTCTCACAATAGCTGTCTACAATAAGGAACTTTAAATGGGGTGTCTAAAATTGTTACCACAAATGGTCTTATTTTTTATGCCACTTTTCTTTTATGTAAAGAGTCCTTCCACATACCACCCTGGGAAATATCCTATAAGGATGCATAATATCTAATGTGTACATGAAAATAAAAATATTTTTCAAATTTCATGAAATTTATAGTAAATACAGAGAAAGAAGATAATTTTTTGATAAATGAAGAGGATGTTCAAGGAATTTATGATTCACTTGGCTAGAGAAATTTGTTTTGTTTCTGTTTTGAACTTCCACATAAGATGAGGCAGAACTCATCTTGTATGTCTCTGATTAAAAAATTTAAAAAAAAGATAATTTCTTTAAAATTAGTGACTTTCTACACAGAACAGATAAGTGAACAAAATAAGAATTTAATATCTCTAATTTCAAAATACCCAACTTCATTTCCTTTGTCATTGAACTCCTAAGAAGAAATAGTAAAGTATATGAAAACCCTGGAAAGTGTCAAAATAATGAATGAAAGCAATAACCTGATATGTTTGAATTTAAGAAATATAAGAAATGGCTGCTTTGGAATTATGGGATATTTCAGAGGATTTATAATAAATATTATGCTATAAATATGTATTGGTGTCTTTAAGCAAATTAATGCTAGCACTGTTCTAGAAATTATGCATGTTATTATCTTATTTACATTAAAAATAATGAACTCAAAATAGCTTTTTTATAAAAAAATTCTTTTGAGAAATAAAATGATTATAATCTCAAGCCATTTATGGTGGTGTAAAGGTCACTGATAAGATGTATGTCTGCTACAAACATAGGCAGTTCTGGGCACAGGCATCTGGGTTTCATTTAGTTATATAGCTTGTCATTCAATAGACTTCAATAGAAGCAGGGAGAATATTTGTACTATTAGCATTATGTCTAGGGATATCACAATAAACCACGTGACTCTAGTGGTGGAAATCAATTTGAGATCAATAATCAGAGATGGAACCTGTAATTTAAAAATTCATCTTATAAATGCTACTTCCTGCTATGTAAAAAGTAGTGGGCTGTGGTTTTCTGGCTGGAAATATGACACAGCAAAAATCAGACAAAAGCTTAGTATACATAAGCTGCAGATCCAAGGATCTAGATCAGTGATGTTAAAATCTTTAATAGAGCAAAATATGTTTCCACGCAGTATCGCAAGTTATCTCACTACATTTCCACAAAGATCTGATGATGCTTCTAAAAGCCAGTGAATTCATGATGGACAATATTAATGCATATGCACCACATTGTATAAGATCAAAACCAACTACACATACATTTATGAAGGATCTTTCAAGAAATAAAAATGAAATTCTAGGATCCAAAATGTCTACAGATCTGTGCTCTATAATTGCTAATGTGTCTGTTCCTGTGACTAAGATGATCAGTATTCCTTGAAAATTATTTACATGGCAATTGACTAGTACTGTTGCAATAATCATAAAAGTTAGGTGACAAAATTTCAGATGTTCCAGTTCATTCATGAATATTTCAATGAATTCCCAGTATTTTATGAGAACTTAAGAGCATTTTTGGCTAAATAATTTCCTTCACATACACACAGAAAAAGACACATGCATACATAAAAACACATTAATTTGCTCTCCAATTTCTAGCATTTGAAAAAAGATATTGAGAAAAAGGTTTTATGTTTGCTTTGTGGTATGATCCTTGTGAAGAAAATGATTTCCCACTTTCCTTCTTTCCCACTACACGGTAGAAAAAGATCATTTTAAAAAATTAGGTATTTCAATCTGGCAAAGATTCAACACTACCCATATTTTCTAAGTCATGGGTCATAAGTATTCACACTCCAGCTTAAGTACCTTTGAGATTTACTTCAAGGTAGGCATGGATTCCAATCATCTTTTTTTGTAATGTGTAAATTCTGCCTGTTCTGTTTCAGTAATAACTTATCACTTATGACAACGGCACTTTAGACTGAAGTATGGTACACAATTCAATGACCATTCTCTAGTTTTTAATAGCACAGTAACACACACACACACACACACACACAATGTAAAATCATTTACATTATGTGTTAACCTTTGCATTGTTTGAGTTTTTAGATTTATCACTGAAGTCACACACTCAAAAGAATTTCCTGTGAAAGTTAAACATCTGGAACAAATATGAACTTTCATATTAACTATAAAACTTCTTCTAATAAAAAACCTTCAAGAGTTTGAGAAAAACATCTCTTAGTTACATCAGTTTGTTTCCTCTCCTTATTTTCAGAAGATTACTGATATTTATTCTGTCATTCTATCCTGTCCACTTGTTTGCATACTAATTAACTCAGGAGTTTTGATCAATGAAAATTAATTTATACCTAGGGAATACACGTAACAACTTAAAATACCACTACAAAAACCTATACTCCTCTAAAATGCATTTTAACATACTTTTTGTGGCAAACTTTGATAACAAATGAAAGCTCAATGTAATCATGCAAGGATTTATATTGTAATGATCAAATGAATTATGTGGAGTATTTCACTTTTTACAATGTAGCCCTTTTAATAGGATTCCTTTAAATATATGAACAGAGCTCTCTGGTCTTTTATCCCAGTCTATAATACTATAGATATAAAACCAAATGTGTATCTAAACTTCTCATGTATAAATAAGATTATCTCATTTGGACACAGATTCTAAAAATGCGCATTTTTTACATCTGTAGTATCAAAATAGAAATATCACTTCAAATACCTGAAATAATTCAAGTTTAATGAAATTAGGTAAACCATTTAAAATTGTTTGTGATTTTATATGCCAATGCCACATGTATCCACAATCATTATGAAAATAGGATTTCTCAGTTATATTATAATCATTCATGGTTCAGGGAAATGGAAAAGGTGTTTTCACATTGACAGAAGTAGCATTCTACTTCCTCGTGTGATATGGATTTTATTGAATGGAACAACAAAAACAGTGACATGTTAAATGTAGAACAAATGCTGTAACCTACTAATCCCTACTTCAAATCAGAACCACAGTAAAAGCCTTGGAAAGGAAGTATGAATGCTTGACATATGGAAGAGGTATTATGTATATGAATATAGTATTTTATTTGAAATCATCCATTGTGAAATTACTTATTAGAATTCACCCTTGGGAAAAAGTTGCATCTTATCTCTCAGGGTTAAGGCATAACTGGTGCACTCACTACTAAAATGTACACAAATGGAGAAAGAAAAGAAATGCTGGTGGAAATACATAAAGGTGGACATCACATAGGAGTGAAAGCAGGAGGGAACACTAACCATATTAGGCTTGGATGGGCAACAGCGCACAGGGAAGAAGCCCTCCCACAGCCACACTCGCAGCAACTGAAAAGCAAACAAGAGAGCCCAAGATAAGGAAGAGATCCCACGCCCTCAAGTATAGCATAAAGACACTGTGGATTTACTCAGGTGTCTGCTTTGCTTCTCAAATGCAAAAGTCCCTAAATGCATGCAATCAAATTTTTTCTACAGTGCCTTTCAACTTAAGAATCACTTTATGGATTGAAGAAATACAGATCTGTGCTAAATAGTTATTTTTATTTTACTTAAAATGAATATTCAGTAGGAAATATAATGAGTCAATATATTTGAATTAATTATACACAACTGATTATAGCTATACAATAAAGATATTTAAATGCAAGTCCATTTAAATATCTCTTTCCTCAGATATCCCTCAAAGATCACATTTGGAAAAATTTTTAAGTACTCATTTAATGCCATGCTTTGTATGTAGCCTGCAAGTTTAGAGTAAAAATAAGGTCTTACTCATTTACTACTGATTTCTTATGACAGTAATATTACTTATCATACCCTATTGAAATTTTATGCCTATTTGACTTCTCCAACCATGTTCTGAAGGTCAACAAATTAAATTTAAATGTTTAGATTTCTAAAATACACCCCCAAATATATATGTTAGAGCTATAGGTATTTTAAAAATATCAAAGTATATATAATACATGCACTTTTTGAACTATTGTGACACTCAATATTCTTTGTAATTTTCCACATATTCATAGTAAAATGTCTAGAAAATATGATGCAAATTCTTTAATAAAATGTACTTTATTAATAGAAACCACATAAACTGATGCTGGAATGTAGTATAGAAGCTATTTAGTGCTTCAATGCATTTACTTTCATTTTTTGATGGATATCATTTATAGTGATTTCAAGACAATTGCAATGTGAGCTCGGTAATGATACAATATACCAGAAATCCAGGATTTTGATTAAAATCTGTCTATTTTGAGCTCTGCATTAAATGTATCTACTCTATTTTATATCAAATTAGTAGAAGAAAATAAGATATAAATCTCCAATACATTTTCAAATGCTGAAGAAGACAGATGAGCATTTGTAAATCAAATACCAACAGTTCTTTCTAAAGGAAAAGTAGACATTGATCATATCATATTTTTGTAGTGTTGGTGATGTTTTAATTTTAAGTACTGCTAAGTATCTGAGGATTTGACTGTCACTGAAATGAAGTCTTAATAGGCAAAATAGCTTCTATGACATTTCCTTTCACTTTGACTACTTATGATAATATGTTTTATAGAACATGACAAATAATTATTTTCACTGTAGATAAAGTGACAGTTATATAAAAAATCATAGTGAGTATATCAAAATATTAAAACACTCCAGAGAGTAGGTAAAAATCCATAAAATACTTTGGAATAGCTTAGTATATTACTATCTCCATTTATTTTATTAACATCTTAAACAATTACTAAAATCTGTATAAGACTAAGTTTCTTACAAGGTATCTGCCTTATGTCAGCACTCAGATTACAGGCAGACAAACCATGGCCATGGACCTGCTCCTACTCGTGACTTGTTGAGGTGAGTACAGTTTCTCTGGATACACTCATTCTCATTACTTATTTTAACTTTTTTAGAGGTGCTAAGACAGATTTGAGCAGTTGTGAGAGAGATGACATGACCTTCCAGGTTAAAACACTTCCTATTTTGCTCTTTATGTAAGTTTTTCCTCCTTCTTTCTTAGACTGTTAGTTTCTGGAGATGAAGATGATGCCTTGATTTTAAAAAATATTTTAAATATGATGAATGCCAATGTTTGACTGAAGTTGGTATTAGCAGCACAATTATCTCAATTTACCGATATCAACCAATAAACAAATTTTGCAAATCTATGTTAATTGTGTATAGGAGTTCAAATCAACAAATAATGCATCATTAGTTGTTGACAAGTGTAGTGTATTGAATTTTTTTAGTAAGAAGAAAAGATGCTATTTCCTCATAAAATACAATTATTCTTTTCTATAAAAACTGTAGTTGACAAACTCCTAGAATTTTGCCTAGGAAAGCAACAACTACACTGATTGGCCATTATCTATTTAAAAGGATTTGTTACTGATTTGCCATTATTTATTTAATAGGATTTGTTTTATATTTTATTAGTCTTGTAATACTCAAGAAGCACATTTCTGATTCCAAAATAATAAAAATATTTTATTTCTCTGCAATTATAAGCATTGTGTAAATGAACACACACACACACACACACACACACACTCATAATTTCACTATAACACCAAACCCACAAATTTTAGTCCTGAAGGATCTAAATCACCTTATTATTATTAGAATTCTGCTTTATTGTTTTAATAACATTTAATTAAAAAACTTGAAGCTATGGAAAATCAAACACTTAACTTCTGTTTTTTCTGAATCATTGTTTTAGATTTTGTACTTATACTCTGTGGACTTGTCTTAAGATGGTATGAATAAATTACCTTGAATAATTTGGTCAACCTCTTTGTGTCTAGGTTGACAGCTATAAAGTAGTGATAATAATGGATTTTTTTCTCATAGGTTCTGTGAAAATAGAGTGAGAGATAATGTATATTTCACTTTGATCAGTATCTAGCACATCATATATTTTGGGGAAAAGTACAGAACTATTAGTCTCAGCAATAGTATAATCAATGTGATAGAACAGATTCTCTATCTTAGAGGAACTGATGTTTTTCATCATCCATATGATATTACCATACTAAATATTTTTTATGATATAGGCAAAAATTACATGAAGATCAAATCATATAAACCAAATGGCCAATGCAATTAAAAAAATTATTTCCACAATATATATTTTCTAAGGATTTAGTGATGAAGGTATACTGTGCATTTGTATCTTATTAAAAAATTAAAACTGAGATTCCTTTCCTGTTAATACATAAAGTGGAATAATAACTCCCCAAATAAATCTTTTGCAATAAATTCTGAAGATACCGTCACAGTAATACCATAGCACCAGATGATAGAAAAAAACACATTTTTCCTTAATATAGATACTCAGATAAGCACAGGTTGAAAGTGTTTATAAGCTTCAGAGATAATTTAGAAATAGGAAACAAAATGTGCTAGAAATAGCAGCCAATCTAATTTCTGTGAGCTAAGGTTCAACACAGGTACATCTGCATTCCCATCAGCTTTTAGCACCTGTAACTCATAAGTAACTGCATGCAGCTCTAACAAGTTCATTATTATTCAAGTTTAAGATAGTTTATTCCTTTTGGGATTATAGTAAAAAAATGTTGGTCTTTGTTTTAACAAGATTATATTGATTTGTCCTTCAGAAGATTAGAATATATAACAGAAGCTTTTCAGATCCAAAGAAGATTCACATGTACTTCCAGCAAACATTATAGAGAGTCGATCAATATATGTATGAAGTGTGTCAATGTAATAAGATAGCCTCCTCTTCCTCAGAAACAAGGTGATTATACCTCTAGGGATGAGATCCTCAAGATAGGAGAGTAGACCAGACTGCAAACTGAATAAATTATGACTTAAATTCCTTGCAGAAGCGATAATATAAGTGGATAGGAAAAATAATAAGATCTACAAGATAAATGAGAAAGACAGGAAGAACAACCTTCACAAAATTTAGGTAGAAAATATTATCAGTTGTTAGCAAAAAGGAAGAAAAACTAAAAGGGTGCATCATTTGCTCATTTTAAATGAAACAACAATGAATGATGGTCCTCAGTGATGGAGAAAACAGGTGGATCTAGTGCCTTTATTTGTGATAGATAACACAAACTATGGCACCAACTTTTTAGAAAACAATATCGAAGGTCCCTTAATTTATGATGGTTTGACTTACAAGTTTCCAGTGGTCAAAATCAATCACACTCATCAGAAACCATCCTTTGTATATTAACTTTTGTTTCCCCAGCTAATGACAATGCTATATGATGCTTGTTCCTGATTCTGTGAACCAACCAATCAGCCAGGCTGCCATGCAGGTAAATGACTGTGATGCTATAGTGCTCTCTGTTGCTAAGCTTTGGAGCTCAGTAAGGTGGCTATGTTAAATGCATTTCAGGCTAACAATATTTTTTAATTTACAGAATATAAGGAAGTAACCATATCATAAACTAAGGAGCATCTGTGTTTCAAAACCTATCAAATAGCAATAAAAATGTTGTTACACTTTGAAATTATTGTGCTGTAAATTAGTGAATGTTATAGTGTTTGTAGTCAAACCTGGATATATCTGTGACTAAATGATTCCCTTTGAGTAATTTATTCACTTATGACAATGGGATAATATGATAAACTATACCATAAAGGGCTGCTTTGAAGAATGACTTAACAAGCATGAGGCCCTGAGTTCAAACCCCAGTATTGCTAAAATAAACAAGTTTTACCAGGTAAAGATGAAATTAGCTAGTGTTATTGGATAAACGAAATATAATTGTTTATTCAAGTATATTTGAACTAAAAATAAATGTCATCAAATGTTATCCTCCTTTTGTAAACTCTTCAATGTAGTGACAGACATAATCATTCTCATTATAAGCAAACATTTACTGAGAATCTATGAGGTACCCTTAAGAACAGAGAAATTACATCACAACAATTTTCTGCCCACATATCATATGATATTTCCAAATCTGCCTCCAGATAAAGTCAACAGGAGAGATTAAAAAAAATATAGCAGGCACTGGTGGTTCAAATTTGTAATCCTAGCTACTCTAGAATCTATGACTGGGAGAATCACAGTTCAAGGTCACCTAGTACAAAAGTTCAGGAGACCTCTATCTCAACCAATAGCTGGGAGAGGTGGTGTGCATCTTTCACCTCAGGGTATAGGGAAGCCTTAGATTGGGAGGTTCATGGTTCCAGGCCAGACCATGTAAAAATTTGGAAGACCTCATCTCAAAGAAAAAAGCAAGAGTGGGAAGTGTAAAATAGGAAAAGTACAGTACAGGATGGCCTTGGTAAAGAGTGAGACCCTAACTCTAAAAGATTCAGAGCAAAAAGTCTGGAGGAGTGACTCAAGT